TTTATTTTATTTGGAGGGTTTCAAGACTATTTGGCATTGCACAAGTTAACTTTGTCAGTTATCCGCCGAAACGTGATCTTCCGAACTAATCTTGGTAATTAAGCAAGACGGTCTCTAATCATCATAACTAAATCCTAGAAAGATTTAATTCTCAATAAAGATCCTAAAATAAGGTACTAACCTGAAATACCGAAATGACGGATTGTCACAATGATGATGATATCCCAATCGGCTCTAGTGAGTTTGGGTTTCCACTACAATTCTTCGTACCCACTCTCGTTCATCCAGAGTCATGCCCTGGGTGTAAGATGCAGGTACTCCAGTCACCACTCGAGAGTCTCCACTCCTAGGTTGAGTTTGGGATGCTTCTCCTCTGGTTCTATTAGAATTCTCGAAAGTCACCCTTCGAGGTAGAGATACACTTTTCCTGGCCGTGACCCTAATCCTTGGGCCATGAAACGTCTGAGGTGGAAGGTCAGGTACTAGCTTTGATGGAGGTAACACTGATGCCGATGGTAAGGTAGGTGTCTCGCTGGTTGCTAAGTCCTCAGGATCATATGGGTCCACATCCATATTGATTGATATATCTCTTCTAGATCGGCCAATCACGTAGCCGGATTCGTCCGCTGAATATTCATTAGATGATGACATAGTGATCTGCAATATTGGCAAACTTAATTACTAAACAACATCATCAATGAAGCTCTTATGGTTAGGATGAGAGTTACTATGTAAAGGCTTCAAAACCGTACGTGGAGCTTCCGCCTCATACAGCTTCGAAACAAAGGATTGCAAAATTCCTTCTGCAAAAAAATCTCTTTTCGTCCTATGAACTTCCGCAAACGGTACTTCCCGATACGAGTTGGTGGCTGACTGGGCTTTTGATTGGCAAAGGGTAGAAAACAAGTTAGAGCTTCTGGTTGACCAGAGCCTCCGGTTGACCAGAGCCTCCGGTTGACCAGAGCCTCTAGTTGTATTACCAGAGCTTCTGGTCAAAGTTCCCACACTTGGAACAATATTTGACGATTAGCTCATAAACATGTGGTTCAACATTCACTTAGTAATGCACGAGGTTTCTAATTCATCGGCCTCTGGTTTTTCATATTTTTGCGGACCGATGGATTGCTTTCCATCGATCTCTGGTTCCTTATGCTTGGAAAACCAATGGATCACCTTCCATCGATCACTGGTTCCTCATTCTTGGCAAATCGATGAATCGCCTTTCATCAATATCTAGTTCCTCATACTTGGCAAACCGA